ATAACTTCCAAGCAAGTAGGGGGAGTATAATGCGGTTAATTGAAACAAATTAGATTGCCTCTGTACCAGTATACAACCCCTGTCTTATTAAATCTAAATGATGTTCATGTCTGGAAGATCTGATTTAAACTGCTAACCCAGCATGAATGGAACAATGCCCACTGTTCAGATGAGCAACCTCTCCCCTTCACTTTCTGATTTGATTTGACATAAATTGTACAGCGTCAGTGCACATCTGGCAAGGGCAAGTCATGGGAAGACACAGAGCAGGATACAAGCAGATGCAGTGAGCTGCACTTCTCCACTGAAGCAAGAACCTTGACCAGTAAAGCAACAGGTTACACAGGAATCATCTCTCGGGATGTGCCAAAGACTTGGGCGTGTGCAGAAGGGCAGGTGCCTCATCAAAATATGGGTATGCATTTGTTGACACTTCCAACCATTACATCATTATGTCCAATACCCTGTCCCTTCATGTAACAGGTGCAGAACTGAGACCCAGAGACTTAAGACACAGTATCAGATTCAAAGCAGGAAGGGGCCTCAGAAGTCATTGAGACTGACCCTCCATTCTCAGGGGAGGATACTGAGGTCCAGTGAATATAAGTAATTCACCTAAGGTCTCATAGGTAGTAAATGAGATAGTTGGGTTTTGAACCCAGATCCTCTGGTTCCAAATCCAGCTCTCAATCTCAATGCACCACCCCCTCCCCCCCGCCTCGATCCCATGGTCACACAGTTGCTGAGTAGCATGGCTAGGTCTGCCAGCATCAAGATCAGTTTCTTTCTACTCTCACACTTTTCAGAAAGATCACTTTTCTCCAAAGGGAGGGTTGGGCTGTACTCTGTCTCTAGTCCCTGGAATACAGAGCTGGCAGGATCCTTGCAGATGCTCCAGCACTGATGGTCCAGCCTCTTAGAGCACAGGCACTGCTCTTCAATAGAACAAACTTTCATAGGTCACCGTAAGCTGTGGTTGTTTGTTCTCTCAATATCCATCAAGTGAGACAACCCATGTTGGCAACAGTGGCAGTGAGTTCTGAAAGATTTTAAGTGAATTTGTGTTTTTTAAAAACCACACCAGTGTCTCTATCCACTGGAAAACTAGTCATGCATCTATGTATGAAAGAGTGTATTTGTTCAGGCTGCAGATGGTGTGCTTGCTTGTTTGTTACTCAGAGGCACAAAGCATATTTTGTTAGCACTAAAGATCAACATGGCAGTGCTTGGGGGACATATGGACTGGAGGACTCCTTGCAATTATTCTGTTGCTCTTCAGGGCTCCTCAGACCAGACTGGTTAGAATCCACTGATGGAGGCCAACACTTTTACTTTATAAATGGGAAAATTGAGGCCCCCAGTGTGTCAGAGACATGGCCGAGTTTCCATGGATGGCTAGCCCCTGGCCCTGTTGTTTCTGGGCTCAAGCCTTTAGATGTCGGTGACTGCCTTCAAGGCCAAGCTCAGGTGTCCTCTCCCTCTGGAAGCCGTCTTACCAAATGCCCCAGGAGAAAATGATCTCTGCGTCTTCTTGGTCCTTTGAGCACCTCATCTGAGGCCCTCTTTTGCCTCTTCGGCATTCTGCCTTGTATTCTGCTTTTTCGTGCGCATGTTGTATCTGCCTAGTTAAAGAGTAAGTTTCTTGAAGGAAGGAACTATGTTGTTTTTCATCTTTGTACCCTCAGTGCCTAGCATGGTACACTACACACAATGAGTGTTTAGTGTTTGTTGAACCAACAAATTAGCCACCTAATCTCTTTCCTAACCAGAATGTACAGACAAGAATTTTAATGAACCAGGAAGAAAATCTTGGTTAGCTGGAAAACATAAACATTAGTGAAGTGGTTTGCCAGCTTAACATCTCCATGTTGACTGGAAGATGCATAGATTGTCAGTGTAGGGAGGGACCATTGGGATCCTTCTGCCATTCTGTTTATTATAACAATGTGGAGGCTGAGGTCCACAGAGCTGATATGATTTGCTCAATGTCACCCATCAAGTTAATGCTGGAGCCAGGATTAGAACTGAGGTCCATTGAATATTTCTTTCACCTTCACAAGATAGTTCCTGTTTGTATATTAAATCAACTAGTCATGTCCACACATGAGGGCACAAAACCAGCAATGAAACCATAAATTCTCCTCTGGCACATTCTCTTGCAAATATCTGTCCCAGGAGAGATGGATGATCCAAGGAGTAAGCCCGTTAACAAGTGTATGAAGAGTGGATGGAAGTTGCAGACCATGAGAGGTGAGGAGGGAGAGAGGTTTGAAGAAACATCAGTGAGTACACAGAGATTCCAAGTGTGAGGGCAGGGGTTGGGTTTGAGAGGCACTGAGCTGGGGAGTTCAGGGGTTAGAGCTGGACAGAACCTTAATGATTATCCTGTCCAGCCTTTTCATCTTACAGATGTGAAAACTAAGGCCCAGCCACTGCTGTCCAGGGTCACACAAGGTGGGAGGAGCAGAGCTAGAGTCAAACTCAAATTTCCTAACTTCAAATTCAATGGAGTGGGGGACAGGGAACCTAGACTCTGCTCCTGCTAGTTGGCATCATGTCTGATCACTTTACTTTTCTAATCCTCAGTTTCTCTGTGTTAAATAAGAAGCTTGGTCAAGAGACTCCCAATGTCCATTCTCCATGAAGGGGAGCTCCAGGTCCTCATTTCTTGGGCTATAGAGGGGATATGCCAGAGGATGAGGCATCGAGATGTGTGTCCCCCTGGTTTTCACCTTGCAAATTCCTGCTGCTTGGCACTAGTCACCCCCAGCCCTGGAATGTACTCCCTCCTAGCAGAATTCCTCTTTTTCCTAAAGACTCAGCTCAAAGACCACCTTCTCCATGAAGCCTTCTCTGATCTCCCACTGCTAGTGCTCCCTCCCTGAAACCATCTTATTTGGGTGTATATTTATTCAGCATGTGCTTAGAGGTAGACTAGGGTTAGGGCTCTTCCCTGATAAGATGTAAGTTCCCTGAGAACAGGGATTTTTCACCTTCATGTTTGTATCCCAGCACCCAGGACAGCCCCTGATGCACAGTAGGAACTTAATCTATGCTTGCTGGTTGCTTGTTTCATGTTAATGCTGCTTTGGCTTCTGTAGCCAGGGAGAAGGGGCAGCGGTGGCCCAAGCTAACGTTAAGCCTCCGTCTCCTGTGGAGCCCTGAAACTGATGAGTGGAGATACTTAATGAATCATATTTATATTCTTGGAAATATAAAGAGTCACAACTACACCATGAGGGAGCCTGTTAAAGTGGAAGAAACTCCCATGCTGTCATTGAATGTGCCACTCCAGGCTGCTAGTGCCCTTCACAGAAGGTGCTTCCATTACTGGGCACAGCTGAGGCAACTTTTTGGAGACAGGGGTGGCCTTCATTCTGTGGGAGAGTTTGGGAGGAACCATGAGAAGATCTAGGCAGAAGTTTCTGGAATCTGAAGCCCTTGGTGGCAAAGACAAGGAACTAGAGGAGAGGAAGTAGATGGGCCTAGCATTGCTGCTGACATGCAGCTCAAAGGTCATCTAAGACCTTAGGATTTTAGAGCTGGAAGAGACCTTGGGAACCATCTTATCCAGCCCCTCTCCTATTATTCAGGAGGAAACCGAGGCCCAGGGAGGGCATGTGATTTCCCCCAGGTGACAGAGAACAAGTAAAAGCTGGGTTGGAAACCTAGGTCTTCTGACTGCAAATCCAGTGCTTTTTCCTTGGCATTGATCCAGACAAATCTCTAGCACATTCTTGGAAAGAGCCTTCTCACCCTCCTCGTAAATATCCCCAAGAAGCAGAACCAGAAGCCATCAGTGCATGTCCCCATTTCTGTAGCATCTTAAAGTTCACAAAATGCTTTCCTCACAAGAGCCTTGTAAGACAGGGAGTGCAAGTTTTACTGTCCCCTTTCACAGATGACTCAATTGAGGCTCAGCAAGTGAAGTGATGGGCACCCAGCTCATAAGAGTCTGCCCTACTTCTGACTCTAATTCTGTATTCTTTCCTCTGTCCTCTGGTAGAAGGTAAACTCCTGGAGGACGGTGACTGTGTTACTTTTGCTTTCGGATACCCAGTACCTAGCACAGGGTGAACAAATGATTGATAGTCAATTGATGGCCTCAATGGCTCATTGGGATCCTGTCACAAGTCACTTCCTAGAACTGGTAGCCAGTTCTCCTTCGCTACTTCCATACCTAGAGCCCCAGGCCTGCCTCCTGTCCTTCCTCAGAGGCACTCCAGCTTGAGAACAGCTCTTGTAGAATGAAGTGATTAGGAGAGAATCCCTGCCCTTGACTCCAGGAGACGATGGCTCCCATTTCCAAAGCACTTTAACATTTCTGAAGCCCTTTCCTTGCAAAGGCCCCGTTCTTGGGGATTCTGGATTGGGAGAATTGCCCAGTTCTGGGACCTAAAAGATTCTGAAGAAAGAAAAAGACAGGTCTCAAATACTGTTCATACAGTGCCACGTGCTTCAAAGCAAGTCTCTGAGCCTCAGTTTCCTTGTCTTTAAAATGGGAGTAATGGTACCCATAACATCTGCCTCACAGGGTTCTTGTGCAGCTCTAAATGAGTAAAACGTTTACACCTTTGACAGCACTATAGAAATGCCAGTTGTAATTTATCCCCAAATTTCCCCCTATAAGCTTCAGTTTCCTTCTCTGTGACATGGAACAAAGTCTTCTATCATTGCCTGCCTCCTGGACTATGGTGAGAACTTTGCCAGCCTTAAAAAGTTGTGTAAGCAGGAGTGACTGCTGTCACCATCATTGATACAGTCTTTGTGGGAAGTACTCATAAACTCTCAAGTGCTCCCCTTTAGTGAGCTCTGCCTCTGAGCTACTAGTGACAGTTGGGGACAGCTCCCAGGTGCTGCAGAAGCCCTTCTGTGGGGGACAGCTCCCAGGTGCTGCAGAAAGCTTTCCATGAGAGACAGCTTCTGGGTGCTGGAGAAGCATGGCAAATGCCACATGCCACACGCCAATGGTGTTGCTTAGACTGGTGAAGTGGTGTCCTCTGCTTGATGTCTCTGCTACTTATCTGTGAAGCAAAACCAATTCCTTTTCCTGTGGCTTTCCAAGTGTTGCTTCCTTGACAGGGTTTATTTTATCTTAAAAAGAGAGAGAAAATCCGTGAGAGAGACGTTCTAGTTTTCATTCACATTGCTGATGGTGAAGAGGTGGTGATATCAGGGCATCATGGGAGGCCTGTATGAGGATGGTTCAAGAAGCATCTAAGCAGTTCTTGGAATGAACCAGTTGGTTAGATCACTGGCCATCTCTCACCCCTCAGTGGTCCAGGTTCTCTGTTTTAGCTTTATGTCTCACAGGTGGCATGATCAGACTGCCAACCACCTCCAAGGCCTTTCTTTATCCTTTTCATTGTTAGAACTCCCTCCCTCTGAGATTATGTTTTAAAATTTACTTTTTTGTCTTGACTTACTGTGCGCTTGTCGTAGGCCCCAGGAGAATGCAAACTCCTTGAAGGCAGAAGTCATTGTGATGTCTCTCTGACTGCAGGGCTGAGCACGATGCCTAGCATGTACTAGGTGCTTCATAGATCCTTGTTGAATTGGATCAAGTGGGCACTATGGGATGAGAATGAATTGGTTGCTCTCCCTCGTTTTTGTCAGCAAAAATCAATAAGCACTTATTAAGCAATCCTCTAAGTTCTGGGGGTACACAGAAAGGCAAAAACAGTCCCTGGCCCCAAAGATTGCACATCCAAATGGGGGAGGCAACATGCCCATAGCAATGCACACACAAGATGTTCACAGAACAGCTGGAAGGCCTCTCAGAGGGAGGCACTGGAGGTAGGGGTGGGGAAGGCCTCCTATAGGAGGTGGGATTAGAGTTGAATCTTGAAGGTAGACACATTTGGGCACATGTTTTCTCTTGCCAATGAGATTTTTTTTTCTTCCCAGACTTATCTATTTTTCTGACTTCCTACTTCTATTCATCTTCCCACTTTCCCTGGCTTGGGACTAAAGACCATTCCTCCTTGTGTTCCATTTTGTCATCCCCCACATTCCATTAGTTAATAAGTCTTGTCCTTTCTGCCTCATTGCTTTTGGCAACCAGACCCTCTTCCGCACTCTCACTGCAAGGACCTTTGGGTAGGTCCTCATCTCTTCCTGTCTACTAAGTAATTTGGCTCCCTGCCCCAGGCTCTCCCCCTGCCTTCTCATTTTATACATGCTGCCATATTAATTCTCCTAATACACAGGCCCTGTGACCTTTCTTCTCATGGTTAGAAGCCTTTAGTACCAGGCTCAGGCTGGCCTTCAGTGTCCTTCCTTATCTGGTCCCAGCCTGCTTAGGGAGCCTCCGTGGTACAGTTGAAAACACATGGAGCTAGAAGACTTGGATTCTAGTCTAGTGACTCTTACTAGCTTGCTGAGTGATCTTTAGGAAGTTCTCTAATCTCTGGGCCTCAGTTTCTTCCTCTGTGAAATAAAAAGGTTGGATTACATCACAGGGTTCCTCTTGGCTCTGATATTTTATAAACTGACCTGTAGCTGAATCTTATACTACATCCCTCCATATGCTTCACACTCCAGCCAAATTGGGGCATTCCACCTACTGATCACATTTACCTCTCTGGCCTTTATTTTTTACTCGTCTGTAAAATGAAGGAATTGACGCCCAAGCATCTGATGGCCCTTCCAGCTCCAACATTCCCTGAACTTTGGCCCTGGTAAGAAGTGAGCCCCGTCTATGTCAGTCAGAGGCAGTGGGTCATAGTGGGAAGCAGTGTGGTTCAGTGGAAAGAGAACTGTTTTTAGAGTCAGAAGGCCTGAATTTGACTCCACCTTTCTTATCCAGTCCCATCCAGCCAGCAGTTCTTATGTGTTTGCAATCGACAGAACACTATGTTAGGCAATAGAAATATGAAGAAAAAAAGCAAAACCTAGTCTTCCCTCAAGGGGCTTACGTTTTCCTGGGGGATACTGCATGTCTAAGTAGAGTATAGACATGCTGATCCAAGGAGGGAGGATGTTAAGGAGCATTAACCCCTGGAAGCATTAGGGAAGGCCTCCAGTGGGAGGAGGCCTCTGAGCTGAGTCCTGCAGGAAGCCAAAGATTCTAAGAGGCAGAGGTGAAGAGGGAATGCCCTCTAGACATGGGGCTCACATGCAAAGGTCCCCATTGGGAGAACAGCAGGTAGGCCAGTTGGGCTGTGACTTTAAGTACATGAAGAGAAGCAATGGGCAGCATTCCTGGAAGAAATGACTGGAGCCACACTGGAAAGGCTTGAAATAATGTGTTATGGCCCTAGAGACCCAAAGAAGGCTCTTGGGCAAGGAAGTGACCTGGGGAGACTTGGGGTTGGGGAAGATTATTTTGGGGCTATATGGAAGATGGAAAGGGTGGGCTGATGCAAAAGTCTAGGATAGAGGTAATTAGGGGCCTGCTCTGGGGCAATGGCCTTGTGAGTGGAGAGAAGGTGAAGGTGCCAGAGACAATATAGCTGTGTGATGGTGAGACTTGGCCACTAATTGGAAAGAGGGATCAGGGAGAAGAAAGAGTCAAGGGTGACTCTAAAGTTTGGAGCCTGAGTGACAGGAAGAAATAGACAAATTTGAGGGTTAGGTGGATCCATGGGGGAGGGGGGGATAATGGATTTATTTGGACTGTGTTGTGTTTGAGTTGCCTATGGAACATTCAACTGGAGAAACCCATTAGGCAGTTCATATCTGCTATGACCCAAGAGAGATATTAGGGCTGTAGGTAGGTGGGTGGGTAGATAGATAGATAGATACACCTATTAGTCATTTGCATAGAAATGAATTATTGGGAAATCACCTTCTCAAAAGAGGGGGGACAGTATACTATAGAGAAAAAAAGAGAAGGCCCAACACAGAAGCTTGAGGGCTGTCCACAGATGGTGAGACATGGATGGTGATTGGCAAAAGAGACTGAGAAGAGCCATCACACAAGGGAGAAGCCAAGGATAGATAACCATCATGAAAATCAAGGCAGGAGAGTGTCTAGAAGGATAGGGTGGTCAACAGTACCTAAGACTGCAGTCAGCAAGTAGGAGAGCTGAGAAAAACCCATAAGATCTGGCAGTTAGGGCTTCATTGGTAACCTTGGAAAGAGTAATTTCTATTGGGGTTGGAAACTAGATGAGAAGGAGGTAAGAATAAAGAAAGTAAGTGGAGAAAAGGAGAGCAGACAGTTCCATCTAGAAGTTTGGCTCTGAGAGGGAGGCGAGGTTTCAGATGGTAGCTTTAGGGGACGATAGAGTCAAGCAAAAATATTTTAAGGACAGGAGAGACCCTGCTATTTATAAGCTTTGTGACCCAGAGGAAAATGTTTCACCTTTCTGGGCCTCACTTTCCGCATCTGTAACATGGGAATCATCACTCCATAGTGGCTCTTTGAACACCTGAGAACTGTTGGAAGGAATGCCCTTTATACACTTTAAAGTGATAGAGGGACATGAGCTCTGTCACTTCCCTACTGTTAGCTCCTTGGGGGGGGGCTGTTTCTTAGCCCAAACTATGCCCTTGGCACCTCTCCCTTCTCTCCCTCCCCCCCCCAGTCTAATGCAGACAACATAGTAGATAATGCATACATATTAAATGGTGACTGATTGTGGTGGAGATTGGGAAAAAGTACAGTGGGAAAGGCAAGTGGCTACTCCAGGTGGTCTCTGAATCTGTCTCTCTCCTTCCGTGTCTCTGTCTCTTCTCTCTCAGTTTCTCTCTGATACAGGACAAGCTTTTATAGCCTTAACTCTCCTCTCTCTGCTTGTTTTCATAAAATGATGAAAATGCACAGTTGGCAGAAGTGCCCCAGTCCATAACTCATTATGAATTTATGCAATATAGTGGAGAGAGCTTGTCTTCATCAGCTTTCATAGTTTCATTAACAACATCAAAGCAATTAGATCTAGAACAAACTCTCTTGAATCCTATTCCTCTTGCAAGAAGCTGAGGAAACCAAAGCAATTAGAATTTCAAAGGGAAGCCTCCATTCCTTACTTTGGGTGGAGAGGGGGCTCTGGTGAGGGAGCCTCAAGGTCTCTTTGTTGTGTCATTAGCTAGTAGAGAGCTTGCCCCAAGTGTGCTGACAGAGGTTTGGAAGGATGGCAGCCACAGAGAGAAGGGCCTTGGGCCAGACGTCACATTTGGGGTATCATTAAGAAGGACCCCAGGAGGCTGCCTCTGAACCTCAAGAATCTTATTTCCTATACCCCCTCATGTATGTGGAGCAGAATCAGGGGAAACATTTACTGGCTGTAGGGCTTGAGAGGCAGAGGGATACAGTGGACAGAGCGCTGGGTTTAGAAACAGAAGATCCCTCATGCCTCTCCTCTGCTTCCCCCCGCTGTCTGTGGAACACTGGGTGAGTTCATTGTCCTTTCTGGGCAATTTCCTTACATATAAAGCAGAGATAATAGTTGTACTGCCTTCAGGCTTATCGGAGTATGAGTATATTAGATGCTCATGTAAAAAGCTATATAAGCATAAAGTGCTATAGTTATGAGATCTTCTTTAGTCATTGTAATGTCATAGTGTTGAGGTGTCATGACTCTACCACTGGGATTGAGGATAAAAATGGGGACAGTGCCAGGCCTCAAGGCCAGGTCTAACCAGCAAGTAACTTGAGATGACATGATGAAACAGGAAATAGACTGCAGAGTTAAACATGGACATCCACCTATGATAGTGAGGGTGGCACCTGCCTTCACCTCTGAGATTACCTCCTATTGACTCTGTATGCATCTTGTAGGCAACTAGTTGCTTTAAATGTTGTTTCCCTTCCCTTCCCCTCAATTCTGTAAGGATTTATTATAGGCTAGGCACTAGCATAAGCCCCCGATATACAGAGACTAAAGGGAAACTAGCCCCATCCTCAAGGACCTTCCATTTTACTGGAGAAAAGCAACACTTACGAGTGGATACAAAATGACTTCTGGGAGGAGGGACTTGGCAAGGGATGGTGGTGGGTGGGCAGAGATTCAAGTGTCCTCGAGGGCTTGTCTGGTGAGGCCAGGACAAAGAGAAGAGGAAACTGAGGCAAACAGATGTTCAGTGACTTGCCAAGGGTCACTCAGTTAGTAAGTGTCTGAAACTGGATTTAAACTCAGGTCTTCTGACTCCAGACCCAGCACTTCATCCCCTTGGCCACCTAAATGAGGAAGCAGGGCACCTTTTTCCTTCCTGTTATTCAGAAAGAAGAGCATCATCATCATCATCATCATCATCAGGGCTTCACATGAGGCACCAGGACAGAGGCCGAAAGCTGTAAAGTTGGGTTCCACTGTAAGCCCCAAATTGGTGCCACATGGGGAGGGGTTCTAGAACAAAGGTTTTCTCTTCTTGATCCTCCCTGGAGCTTGAGGATGATGTTTGGTTCCATTTTGGCCTTTTCTCTTGCAAGGTGGGACCATGACCAGTCATAGCTGGAAGGGGCCCGAGGACAGGGAATGTCACAGCTTTAGAACTGAGGTTTAGAACTGACCTTTAGAACTGAGAAGTTAAGAGTTAGGAGGGAGTCTTCCTTTCTGAACATGTTTGGTCATCTACAAAATGAGGGTCATATTTTGTTTTACTCCCTGTGCTCCCAGCACACAGTT